AAACTTGCATCAACACGATTCCAACGGTCGACTTTCCCACTCCAAACTGGTTTGCGACCGACCGGTAGCTGTCTGGAGTTGCCAGCTTCCAGATTGCAATAGCCACCCGCTTCTCCACTGGCAGGGCAGATCTCAATCTCGTGTCCTTGCGCCGCAGGGTGGGGGCAAGCTCCTCACACAGTCCCATGAAAGTGGCTTTTCTCATCCGAAAGTTCTGCAGCCACTGCTCGTCATCCCAGACTTCCATGACGATGTGATCCCACCACTCGGTGCTTGTTTCCCGAGCCCAAAAGCGGCGTTCCACGGTGCTGAGCATGTCCGTGAATGCCACAAGCAATTTCGTGTCATACGCGTTACGCGGCTCGATAGCATCGTCGGACTCCTCATCCTCACTCTCACTGTCACTTTGGATCTTAAGGAATAATTCGACAGCCACACGTGACGTGCTGGCGAGACTCGTCAGCATACGCCTCAGCAGTTCGAACTCCATTTCCCGCAGACAGATCGCGCTGCACAGAAACCGTTGAAAGATGGCGCCAAAGGTGGACGGAAACAAAGGGATTTCTGGGATGTGAAGCGATGCATCACGGGGCATTGGGACAGGACCCAGAATCCCCCGCACCCACGCCCCCTTCCCACAACCCACGGCGCCAGAATGGGAAAAGGTGCTCTGTGGGATAGCTGCCCATAATGCACCGCTCCCAATAGCGCTGCAATTGCCGCAAATGTGGCCACGACAGTGCGCTGGGCAGCTGTCAGTGTGGACAGACTGCAGCGCTTTCCCTACTCAGCTGCACAAAGTCAGGTTTAACTCACAGCGCTGTACATCTGCAAGTGTAGCCAAGGCCCCAGAGGCTTACTTCTCCGAAATCTTTTGTGGCTCCCTGTTGCTGTCAGACATGGAAAAATGCCTGCAAATGTCACCTGATGGACAACTCACGACTGCATCAGCAGCACCAGCGAAACTCAAGAAGTATGAGACATGAGGATTTCCAGTCTAGAGGCAGTGTGTGAGGTTTCTCTTCTTTCCTTTGGCAAGTACAGTGGAACAGGCTTAAAGTAAAGTGTGTGAGGTTTTTTTTAAAAGTACGTACACCAAAAATCTCTTCACTTGGTTTTACTCTAACCAAAGGTTACCCTTTATCCCCCCCTGCTGTCTTCAGTTCTCCCTGTACCCACAGTTGAAAGGGCTTTTAATTTTTCCTCCCTCACAGCTTCAGGGGGACACAATGACCCTTTTCCCTACCCTGAACACTCTTTGCTCTTCAGAACAGAGACGAGGGAGGGGCTAATGATTCTGCAGGCCAGCTTTTAACACCTATCACAAGCCTTCTGGACACATTTTAAAATAAATACATATTTTTATTTAATTACAGCAACTGCGAGGAGAGCTCTTGTGGCTTCAGATGTGTTGGCCTGCATCTTAACGAGTCTTCAGAGAGCTTTTCTATTGTGCTAAAAACTAGCTTAACTGAGCTAACTTGATTGAAAAATGCACTCTTTTGGGCCAGTCAAGACAGTGGCACCTTTTTTTATGTGTTTGCTCTGCAGTGGTGCTACCCCAGGAGCTCGCAGCTCCGCCACCCAGAGCATTGCGCCAGCAGTGGGGCGGGCTGAGGCTGCGGGGGAGGGGGAGGGGGAACAGCTGCGGAGGGGCCGGAAGCTAACCTCCCAGGCCAGGAGCTCAGGGGTCGGGCAGGAGGGTCCCGCGGGCTGTAGTTTGCCCACCTCTGCTATAGATACATAGTTTATCATGTACTTTAGTCTCCTTGAAATTAGGGCATTTCATAAAAATATGAGAAACCCTATGGGATTTGGTCATTCTCCATTCCAATACTTTTTTCAAGGTACTTGCAACCTTGACTCACAAGGAACCACTAATAAGACTCCAGTATTTAGAACATCTTTATTACAGAGGCATAATGTAAATGTAATAGGCAGCAGGTTTAAAACAAACAAAAGGAAGTATTTTTTCACACAGTGCACAGTCAACCTGTGGAATTCCTTGCCAGAGGATGTTGTGAAGGCCAAGACTATAACAGGGTTCAAAAAAGAACTAGATAAGGTCATGGAGGATAGGTGTATCAATGGCTATTAGCCAGGATGGACAGGGATGGTGTCCTTAGCCTGTTTGCCAGAAGCTGGGAATGGGCAAGAGATGGGTCACTTGATGATTACCTGTCCTGTTCATTCCCTCTGGGGCACCTGGCGTTGGCAGAAGGCAAAATACTGGGCTAGATGGACCTTTGGTCTGACCTCGTATGGCCATTCTTATGTAAATTGTTTAGTCACACTCACCACGTTCTCTGTTTTAGATGCTGCTAGTGCAGTAGGCTGTATATAGCTAAGCCTGTAGTTAGTAAACACAGTTATTAAGGACCCAACAATGCCTTTGTGGTTTCTTCATCTTATTGGAGCTGTAGGACTTATTCTGAGGGAGTTCTATGGCCTGTGTTATATAGGAGTCAGAGTAGATGAGCACAATGCTCCCTTCCGGCCTTGGACTCTATGAATCAGCCCACAACCATTTCCTGCCTCCCACAAATTATGGGCAGATTTATTTATTTTGGGTTTGCTACATGCCCTCTATTTACACGCACTATGCTATGTGCTGATATGAAGGGTATTTGCATTACTAATGAAGATTTCATAGTTTATGAGAGGATAGTTTAGTTGGGGTTGGTCCTGCTTTGAGCAGGGGGTTGGTCTAGATGACCTCCTGGGGTCTCTTCCAACTCTAATCTCCTATGATGCGTTTACAATTCCTAACTTGTAGTATAACATGGGTATCTCCAGAAGTGTGCTTGTGCTGAGTCAACTCTTCTAAATGTGATGCAGTGTATACCCTGCCCTGGCTCAGAAAGGGTTAATGTGGACCTGAGTGTCACCTGGAAGTGGGCCAGGCCTAATTAATGATGAAGCTTAGCTGGGGAGGAGCTATAAACAGAGGAAGTTTGGAACAGAAGGGGCTATAGGGAGAAACTCTGCAATCATTTTCTTGGCAGTAGGCAGTGAAGAGGCCTAGAGGGAAAGAGAAGGTTCTTTCACAGTGAGGAGAAAGCCCAGGGAAAGGCTTTGTAGGAAGGATAGTAGCAATAAGTCTGGTGGAGTGAACCTTGACTGCATGCCCTAGGGTCCCTGGATTAGAACCTAGTGTAGAAAGCAGGCCTGGGTTCACCTGATAAGGTGGTGTGAAGCCTCTAAGGTGATATGGACTACTAGATACCCTGAGAAAAGAGTGAATGGACTACTGGGCCCTGAATTGATGGTGGCAGACTGGCTGGAAGGATCACATATTTATTTGTTAGACTTCCTATTACCCTGGAAGGGGCAGGACTAAATGTGACCTGACTAGAGAGCGGAGGTACAAGAAGAGGGAGACCAGTGCAAGGACCAGAGTGATTGTCAGCATAAGGTGCTAGAGGAGAGCCTGCTATGCCATGCCCAGTCACAAAGGGATGCACCTATGGTGAGTTAACTCTTCTACATACCTCTCCCAGCCCACCCACATACATAGCTACCAGAAGTAGCATTGTTTCTACTCAAGTGTCGTCCTAAACAATTAAAAGAATCACCATGCGGCAAAGCTGGAACTCCTCTGGACTGGGAAGGGAAGATGCACTTGGGAGTATGAGTTCCCTAGTAAATTTTGGGGAATTGTGATAAAGTAATAACTATGAAATTTGTTGATTAAAGCAACAAAATAACCTTTGTAACAGGAATCCGCAATTGAAAGTGGAAGCTCCCCACTGTACTCCAAAACTTATGACACAACGTATATGTTTGCACTCAAGTAAAAAAAAAGTCCTAGAACATGAGAATCCAAGCTGTTCTATGCCTGCTCCACAATGCTGCATTATCTGTTAATACAAGTTCCTGTAAATGCCTCCTACCCAAAGGGATCCACCCAGGTTTACCATGTGTGATGGTGTAGATACATTCATCCTCCCCCAGACCCATGCTCACACATACCCACAGATGACCACCCTTGCACTTAAACTTGTCTGTGAAAGACCGAAGTCACACATAATCAATACCAGTACATTTCCACACCTTGTCATTTATTTTACATTTCCTTACAAAAGGTTTCCATTTTTGTTTCATACGTCGTTGATGGGTATGTACATCAAATCACCGCCACTGTCTACCCTTGCTGACTCAAACTATTGGAGAAACACTTACACTGTGGTAAGGAAAACTTCTGAATAGAGAGAACTGTAATAAACAACTGCTGAAGGGAACAGAACTCAGTTTCCTAGCATATGGTGGGGGTCCTTAACTAGGAAATGTAATAGCTATACTGAATCTTGGTGATACCTGAAAATGTTAACTTAAGACAATGGTTGTTTTGAGTTAGCCTAGAGCTCATTGTCTAAAAGCAACCAGTTGTGTGTTTTGGTACATCCACACAGCACTTTCTTCAAGAGCAGCCAATTTGTAATCTAAACACCCTACACCTAATGGATTTGAGGACTGTGCATCTGGAATTGCTTTGATTGTGCTATTGCTGATAGGACCTACATTTCCACCCCATCCAGAGAAGGCTGACTGTTACAAGATACACTGGAGAAAGGGAAAGGGTGACTTTTTCCCCACCCCTCCTCCACAATCTGTTAGCTCCAGCAGACATGAATAAGTCTGACAAATTCCCTCAATATTCGCCTCTCTCTACATCATGTATATGGCAAGGTCACTAAACCCCATTATGCAATACCGATTCCCGTAATGAAGTTTACAGTGATGCAAGGATCAGTGCCCTTTGTTTATCCTCAACCTCTATTACTCGTAGGGTATGTCAACACAGCAAAAGAGACATACAGCCCTGAGTCTGAGCCTCCTACTATAAGCCTGAGTCAGTTGACCCAGTCTCTGAAACTATCTGCTAGTTTGTTTTTGCAGTGTTGCTGTACCCTTAAATAAGGAGCATGGCCTGGAATAGAGGGGATACAAATGTTGTTCTCTTTACTGACCAGCTGTCACTGTTGCATCATAACAAAAGCTTTTTTTTTTTTGGAAGCAGTAAGCCGTGTCCTTGAAATCTGAAGACATTTAAATGAACTCCCAACGGAGTATATGATGTGTAGACCATCACCATGATGAATGTCGCTTAGACATCATCCCAGAAGTCATCCCTCTTCTCTGGCATGACTCAGTGTTCCCACATAATCTTTAGGTTTGAAGGCAGCTCTGCAGTGCATAGCTCATCAAATTTTGAGGCATCTTTGACCTGCGTGCTGTAGAAAGCTAAGACATCCCCAGCAGTGCACATTTGGTGGAGTCGTGAATTGGGGACCGCATGGCCTAGTTCTGCAGCCAGTTGCGCCAGCAGGCGATACTTTAACTTGCTTTCTTTTAGTGAGGCCTTTTGCCAGTCCTCAGAGAGTGAGGGTCCAAAGATTTCCCTGACATGAGACTCAAGACGACTCTGGAGATCCTCTGGGGGAAGGTACTTCCTACTGCGTGGTGGGGGACATACCAGGATGGGTGGTTCTTTCACTAGAACAGCTGTTTCAACCACCTCTGGTTCTCTCACCTTCTTCCTGTTAATCAGAAGGAAGTATTTTAAATCTCCCAGCTGCTACTGAATTGAAGTGTCCTTTTCCATTTAGGTTAGATTCCCCTCCTCCCCCCATTCACACTCATTTTTGGTTTCACTACCATAATTTGATAGCTCTTACACATGCCTGCACTGAAGACAGAGCAAGCTGTTTCCTTCGCTGATTTGCATATACACTCAATACAAACATTAGCACTCTGAGCCTAGTTCCCAGCTTTTTCCAGAACGCCACCTTCAATAATATTCACAGAGCAAGTACCACTGCCACAGTCAAACAGGCCAGGAAGTGCTTCACTCCTATCCTGCTGTTGCTTCATAACAGTAGTAAGCTGCACTTTCACAGCATCTTTGTGAGGCCTCAGACGGAGGTGCTCACAGTGACTGTGGGGTGCTGTGCTAGCGTAGCAGCTGTCGGGTAGCCGGACCCTGGGGGGTATATCTACCCTACCCTTGGAGTCTATAGTTGACGGCTTGTCTTAGGGTGACCAGCTGTCCCGATTTTATAGGAACAGTCCTGATTTTGGGGTCTTTTTCTTAGATACGCTCCTATTACCCACCACCCCGTCCCGGTTTTTCACATTTGCTGTCTGGTCACCCTAGCTTGTCTACACTACGCAGCTTTTAGCGACAAGGCTGCATCGACACAGCCTTGTCGCTAAACGTCAGTGGGCGTAAACGCGTCCTGACAGTATTGTGTCGGCACTTTTGCTAACAAAATACTTCCATCCCCGCGAGCGGCGTTCGCTTTGTCAGCGGGACAAAGCCAGCCGGCAAAACTTTTGCCCTTCGCGGGGGGGGGGGGGGGGGAGAGCGCTGGCTTTTTAAAGTACCCATGAAAGACAAAAGTTTTGTCGACCGTGTCGCAGTGTAGACAGGCCCTAAGTCTACAGCACAAGCTGGGGTGGGTGAGCTCTCGGCGAGCACGGCGGCTCCGGCGCGGGCACTGCTAGCAGGGCTAAGCCGTGCCCACTAGGTGCCCGGCGCTGTCAGGGGGAGCCGTACTCGCCCCCCCCCCTCCGAGGAAGCGCGCTACAGCTCGCGGCGAGCGAGCGCGTGCACGAGCAGGGCCAACCGTCAGCTCGCCGCGCGCACCCACGCGGCGAGGGGCGGGGCGGGGCGGGGAACAGGGAAGCCGGCGCTGAAGGCTGGAACGAGGCCGGCGCGGCAGACGCTCGCACCCCGAGGGGCAGGCGGAGCACTCAGGCCGCAGCCCAGCCCCAAGCCGCCTCCCTCCCCACTCCGGGCCTGGTCCAGCACCGGGCGCCTCAGCGGGGGGGGGTGGGGCCGAGAATAACTCGGCCACGGAGCTTCCCTCGGGGTTACCTCAGGCCGTCCCATAATGCCCTGCGCGGCAGGACCCCCAGACTCAGCCGCCTCCAGGCACGCACGAGCCCGCAGGAGGTCGCCATCTTGGAAACGACACAGACAGACTGCCCGAGGCACGACGGGAGAGGTAGGATTGCTTCCGGGAGCGCGCGCTGCCTCATGGGAAGTGTAGTCATGGGATGTCCGTCACGTGGCCGCGGCGCGGCACCGCGGCGCGCTCTGGGGGATGTAGTTCGCGTCGAGGCGAGAGCGAGGCTGCGGCCTCCGGCGGGTCGTGCACTGGGTGGAGCTGAGCGGGATGAGGCCCGGATGATGTGGGCGGAGTCTCCACATGGCGGCTGCCGGGGCGCTTGTTGCCATAGAAACCGGGACGTGGCCTTATCCGCGCCCATGGGGAGCTGCTGCTGGTGGCCCAGCTGGAGGGGAAGCGGCCCCCTGGGCCTCCGTGTCACCCTGGGCCTTGCAGGGCAGCAGCACCCACAGCAGGGCCATAGAGCGCACAGCCCCACTGCCGTGCCAGTGACATGCGTGTGCACAAACAGCTACACACGCATACATGGAGACATGCAAACCGCACACAGGTGTATGTGCACAGATGTGTAAATAGCTATACACACATCCGCATAGGCCGCTCCAACACCCCCCCCACGCGCGCTGCGTCCCTGCTCCTCCGCCTACCTCCCAGCCGCGGCCAAACCGGGGGAGGAGGCAGGGCCGGGGTGGGGATTTGGGGAAGGGGTTGGAATATTGGCAGGGAGGGGGCGGAGTTGGGATGGGGACTTTGGGGAAGGGGCGGGGCATCATGGAAGGGGTGGAGTGGGGGCAGGGGAAGGGGGGGGTTGAGCACCCGTGGGAAGGAGGGGAAGTCAGCGCCTATGCACATCTATACACGAATAGACACACTTGTATTCCCACTGCACATGTCAGACACACCTACATGCGCACATATACATGTAGGTGTATATCTGTGTAATGCTGACAGACCCCGGGCGTCGGCAGGCGGGATCGAACCTGGGACCTCAGTGCATGAGCTAAAAGCCAACTGGCTGTTAGTTAAGGCTGTAGAGCAGACTCATTTTACCTCTCTCTCTAAGTGGTCTCGGTGCCACTAAATGAGACACAACACCACATCCAGACAGGGCCGGATTAATTTTTTGTGGGCCCGGCACCAAACATATTTGTGGGCCCCTCTGGGGAATGAAGGGGCCAGGGGCAAGAGCACAGCGGGCAGGGTGGATTTGATTTAAATGATGATTTAAATCTCTAGTCAGGAAGACTCTATTTAATCATGGTTTCCTACGTAAAAGTGCATTCTTGTTGGTTGTTATAACCTTAATACATATTTTTCACAACACAGAGATAGATGTAGGTTTCATTTTTAGAAGGTACACACTATACATTTTTAAACAGTGGTTTATTTTGAAAACTTTTCAGATGAGTTTTACAGCTACATCAGAAAATGAATGATTGTTTGGTTATTTCATTTACCAAAGGTAATTGAAGCAGATATTTATGAAGTCATTGGGAGATGAACTATCTGCAATTCAACAGGTTAATCATTAATATTTGGAGGATTTTCTTGCCATGCTGTATTAGGAGGAGAACATCACCAGACAGACATTTAAATTGTTTTATTTAACTAAAACAACAACATTAAGTATTCTGGATTTTTTTCTTCAATAGCAAACATAATATTTTAACAAAAAAGCATATGTTCCCTCGCTTCTTACATTTATCTCCAGACTCCTTCTCCTTATCCAGATCTATTCCGCCCCCAACAATCTTCTATTCATTGAACTTTTTGAAACTTTTCACTTTTACAGAGAGGTAAGGGATTGACTCTGTGTACACAAATTTGCAGAGGGACAATAGCATTGAGGTCTGTTATTTCTCACCTCTATATATTATTTATTTATTTAAAAACATTTTTGCTGTTAACAAGCATGTTAGCTCTGGAGACACAAATTCAAAGTTTGAGAAATGCAAAACTAAGCATCCCTGATAGTATCTTCTAGACTGAGCATTGAGTCCCATTGGGTGGATAGAAAGATTAACCTAAATAATCTATACAGAAGCCTGTGGAATCCCATAAAATTGGGTCCCCAATCCATGAACTATTGGAACTCATTTACAAAACTTTTCTTAAACATTATATGAATATAGTGTCTCATACTATAGAATTAGAATTTATAAACCCTATTCCATGATGAGACATAATGTATGTTAATTAAAACTATCTTTAGATAGGTTTTTTCCTCAAAAAGCATTTTATCAACAAAAATGAGATTTAAATAAAAAAAATCCGATATTTTGATTTAAAAAAAAAAATCATTGATTTTTATCCACCCTGACAGCGGTGCATGGTGGGGGGAGGGGAAGGATTGGTCCCCAGCTGGAGTGAGGCAGGGGCCAGGGGCAAAAGCACAGTGGGGCGGGAGCTAGGGTTGGCCCCTGAAGCAAGGGAGGGGCTGGGGGTAAACTGCAAGCTCAGCAGAGGTGGGGAGGGGGTAAACAGGACCCTGCCCACATAGAGCGGGTACCTACCTTCTCCCTGGTTCCAGCCCATTCTCTTCATCTCTCTCTGCACTGAGCTGCCCTTCCTCTAGTGTGAAAAGTGGGAATGTTCTTAATGTTTTCTCTGAATACTGTGTGGGTGCCTCAGTTTCCCCTATGCATTTCTTAAGTATCTAGGTGGTGGGATAAGAGTGTGTGATTGTTGCAGAGCCCTAGGCAGGTGTGATACTGTCTGCACAGAGAGTGGCTGACAGGGTTGCAGGGTCTGGCCAGGAGTTAGGGTGAGGGAGGGGGCTCAGGGTTGGGGCAGAAGGTTGGGGGTGTGGAGCGCTTACCTGGGGCAGCTCCTGTTTGGTGCGAGGGGTACAGGTGGGAATGTGTGGGGGGGTGCAGGAGCTCCTGTTTGGTGCTCAGGATGGGGGTGAGTACAGTGACAATGCTGAGGTGCTGTTATAGTATCAGCCATGCTTTGGTTCATGGGTATACATGTGGTGCATGTGCTCGCTCACATCATTAAATCCCTTTGTTCAGCCTACTGACTCAGCAATGCATTAGATTAACAAGTCCCTACTTGGCGTACCTAGAAGAGAGCCAGCAGGCAATGAGGATAGTGCATTACACATCACCACATACTCCAGGGCTGACTCTAGCCCACCGTTCCTTCTTGGTTGGGCTGCCGAGCAGAGGAGCATCAGTTAAAACAGTTGCAGCATTCACTTTTGAGTGGCAGAGGAGTTTTTCAATCTTGGGAACACTTTGCAGAGAAATTTAATATTTTAGGGGAAGAAAGGTACTGTTATATTTCACACAACCATGAGTTACGTAGGGTGACTGTGACCAAAAGCACCCCATAGTCACACCCTACACACTACTGTAATAATCTTTGTACAAAATATGCCTTGTGAGGTATTATTTGAAAACTAATAATTTGCTGGTCAATAATCTCCTGGTGAAATGTGTGTAGCAGCATTATATGGGAAGTTATGAAATCCCCCTGTATAATGTTATTAGCACACATTCAAAACCACACAGCCCTGCCTAGGCAAAGGTTGTTAAACAGGTCTATCCTAAACAGAGGAATGTGTGTTTTACCTCCATTTACATATCAATAGTAAAGTGGGTCCTCAAGATAGCAGGGTGAGGAATTGACAGAAGATGAAGCAAATTTGCATTTCTGCAAACACAGGTGGGAAGAAAGATGCCTCCTTCACCACCCTACTCCATATTGCCTCCTTTACTGTTTGAATAATCTTTGCTTTGAGGGGTAATCTTCAGAAGAATCCACTTCATGGGTTCACTAGACCAGGGGTCAGCAACCTTTCAGAAGTGGTGTGCCGAGTCTTCATTTATTCACTCTAATTTAAGGTTTTGCGTGCCAGTAATACAGTTTAACGTTTTTAGGTCTCTTTCTATAAGTCTATAATATATAACTAAACTATTGTTGTATGTAAAGTAAATAAGGTTTTTAAAATGTTTAAGAAGCTTCATTTAAAATTAAATTAAAATGCAGAGCCCCCCAGACCGGTGGCCAGGACCCGGGCAGTGTGAGTGCCACTGAAAATCAGCCTGCGTGCCGCCTTCGGGACACGTGCCATAGGTTGCCTACCCCTGCACTAGACTATAAAAGAAAGGAGCAGAGAACTCCAAGTAATCGCTCTCTTTCACCTAAGAAAACAAAGGCACTAATAGCTTTGGGCCTTGGGGAGAGATCCTTACCAAGGAAAGGGTCAGTCGCCATCTTGCTGGAGGACTGTGCGTGAGAGAGGCGATCTTGAACAAAGCCTTGCTAGATTAAGTTTTAGACTTGTGGATGCGTGTTTTCACTTTTATTTGCTTATAACCATTTCTAACTTTCTCTCTCATACTTGAATTCACTTAAAATCCTATCTTCTTTTGTTAATAAACCTGTTTTATTGTTTTTAAATCTAAACCAATCCAATGCTGTGTTTAGACTGAACTGTTTGGTGACTCCAGTTAAAGTAGCAAACTGTTGAATATTGACTATTTACAGGAGCAACAAACCTTTAATGTCGGAACTGTCCAGGAAAGGGCTGGACAGTGCAGATTACCTGATTTTGGAAAATGCGGGACTGGGAGTCACCCTGCAAGTAGTAACCAAGGCTGGTGGAAGCCAGAGTGTGACTGGTGTGTTGCTGACAGGCTGCTGGGGTCAGAGCTGCTGGACCAGGGCTGTAGCTGTATACAGACCCTCAGGGTGTGACCTGCATGGTGGTAGACTGTGAGCAGCTCAGGTTGAGAAGTACAACAGCAAAGCATTGTGAGGCATCCAGGGTTACAGGGCAGGCTGTGATACAACCCCTCACTCATCTGGATTGAACCCCAGAATGTGACAGTGACTACAAGTTTACAGAGGGTGTGCACACTGGATCAGTATCTAAGAGGCAGCAGGACCTAGTGGATAGAGTCCAGCCTGGGAACTCAGGAGATGGGGATTCTCTTTCTGGTGTTCTGAGTAGCTTTGGACAAATCACTTAAAGTCTCTGTGCTTCAGTTTCCTCAGTCTGTGAAATGGGGATAGCAATGTTTATTTCCTTTGTAAAGTGCTTTG